TTAAATAATAAAATACCATGAGTTTAACCCTAAATATATTTTAAAATTTTAAAATACTTTACCACATATGTAGTAGGACCAAAAGAATATTTTAGAACATGTGAAGACCTAAACTATGAGTTGGAAACATGATGGACAACCTAAAATTTACTAAGTTTTGGAAAATGACCTTTTTGCAAATAATATAAAGTTTAGGGGACTAAACTGTAGTTTTTAAAAAATGCAAAAACTTCTTTACAAAAATTTATAGAGATATTTTATTCATGTAAAGAAATAAATTAGGATTTATTTCTCACAAAATGGATTTGAAATGAACTAATTATGATTTTTTTAATATATTATTATTTGAAAAGTAACTTTTTAGGAACAGTATGGATAAACCATGTTTCGTTTTGGATTTTATGTGTCATTATTTTAATTTATTTTTTTTATGAAAATTAACACTTAAAGGAAAATATTTCCATTGGTCTCATGATTTTTGGATGTAAAATAAAATAATTATAATTTTTTCAGTAGACTAATACTGAGAAGTGATGTTTTGTGACCAATAGAGAAAAATTATGCTTCATTTTAAAATATTTGAGTAACTAATTTTTTATTGAGTTTTTTTGTGAAACTAGAAACTTAAAGGAAAATAATTTCATTAATTTTACAATTTTTGGTGTTGGAATGAATAGGTTATGGTTTTTCTAATAATCTTTTGCTGAAACATGATAACCTATGACCTACGTATAGAAACTAGAACTCCAAATAATATTTGTAAGTGTATGGATGTAGGTATTTTTACTTGAAAATAGACTTATAGAGAAGAATAACTTCACTGATTTTATAATTTTTGGAATTAAAATGAATTAGTTATGAATTTTCTAATACGTTGTGCATTAAGAAAGGTGATCTGTGAATAACAGAGAGAAACTGAGCTTCGTTTAACTCTCTGCAAATGTCTAAATTATGTTTGTAGTTGAGTTTTACAAGTCAGTGCATGAAATTTGGAAATCCAAAAGTAGCCATGTCCATGAAAATGATTGTTTTCTTGTTTAAGGGATAGAAAATTGTAAATTGTTTGTGATTGTAATTGTAAATGTGAATTAATTTCACAAAAGGAAAGTGGTTGAAAATGTTAGATATAGGCTTATGAAAATGTTAGATATAGTGTTGGTGTAACCATATGAGATAGGTGAGTATCCAAGTACTACAAGAGACCAAGTCTAGGGAACTTTTGTCGTAAACAATGAGAGTTATGGTAAACTATCTTGATAGGCACTAGAGCATTTTAAGATTGATGTAAATGTGTTTTGCTACAAGTGACCATAAAGGAAATTGTGCACTAAAATTTATGTCGTAAACAATGATTAATAATGTTGGATAATTAATTACTTTATAGAGAAAACATAAATATAAGACATTGCAATGGTAGTTGGTTTGTTGATTATTTGAGTATATTTTTATTCATTTAAGCATCAAGTATTGCCTTATGATATGATTTATTAATATTTATACTCACTCTTTTTTTTTGTGTTGTGTCTATTAAATATGCATGGATGCAAAATAAGTGATAGAGATGCACCCATTGACCTTACACAAATGATTATATTATGGATTTTATTATATTAACCATATTTGTTATGAATAACTCTCATGTTGCACAACTAGATATACATGGCCTAACAAGAATTGAATTGTTTTTAATTGGATTGAATTTTAAATTCCATTTTGAAAATTAACCCGATCCAAATTGAATTTATATGTGTATATCATTTTATTTATAAAATTAATATCTCATTCATATTTATAAAAATATATATTATTAAAATTATCATATTTAACTATTTTCTATAATTTTATTTTTAAATTTATATCTTATTACTTTTTAGGTATACACTTTATCAATTTAGTGATTGGTGTTTAATAGACAAGTGTACCCATTGAAAGTAATACCGGATTCTAAAATAAGTTCCTAAAATTATCGTCCTATAAGGATTAGTTTCAAATACTAAAAATTTTCTAATTCAATTATTTGAGCTTAAGGATGCAAAATTAAATAAAAATAAGAATTTAATTATAAAATCAATTATGAATAAAAGTAACACAATGTACATCTTGATTGAATTTATAGGAGAGGAAACTAAAACATATGAGTTTTCATTCAATCCTTTATGTTTTTTTTTCCTGTTTAACTCTAAATCTGATTTTCTTGTGATTAACAATTATTCATACAAATATTATCAATACCCAATAGTCATGAAATATTAACATTCTTTTCTCTAAACTAACATTCACAATGGTCATGCAAGACATTAATTCAAGAAAGCATAAAGTACCTATGAACTTGTTAATTTAATTACAATTGGAAGAGAAAGATTAGTTTGATTCACGGAATCATTTGTCTTATTTTATCCTATAAATTCATTAACTAATTGAGGTACAGTCGCATGACGATATAATTAATTAGAGTTATGTTATAACATACATTTATGCGTAATATGTTTGAAAATCACAACTGGAAATCAAATTTATATTTAAATATTAAAATTCCATAAATTCATGAATAAGAATTCCAATAATTCTAGCTATGAACTTAGTTACTCTTGCTAAAAGAAAATTAAAACAATTATAAACAAAGCCATAATAAAAAGAAATAACAAACTAGAAATAAGATGAGTTCCCAGTCTTCAAGTACGATCGCTCAAAGCTCCAAGTCTCGCCAAGAATATGCCAAAGATGTCGTGTAAGAGAGATGAGATGAAAGATGTATCAAAGATTGAAAGCTAGATGTAGAACAGGATTTGAAAACAAGGTACAAAATTGGATGCTTGAGGTCTCTTTTTAATAGGGTTCGAAAATCCTAAAAGCTGTTCATAATTGGACTTGTCGCAGATAAGCACAGTTATGCAAGGCCATAAGTATGGCCGTGCATATGATCGAAGCATTCTCGTGCTTGCTTCTAAGGTCTGGACGTGTTGATTGTTGCAAAACTCTATTTTGCAAAAATGTAGGTCCAAAATGTGCCTTAAATCCAATTGAGGTATTTTTATACTAAACTGCAAAATTAATATATAAATTAGTGCAAAATTTAAATAAAATAAAAGTCAAACATAAATATAAAGGCTATAAAAACGGAACAAAATACAGACTTATCAATTATATAAGTATATTTTTTAAGATTAATTTAAAAGTATTTTTTTATCATATATTTTTATATACATTTTATATTCATATAAAAATTAGCTTTATTTAAAAGTAATGTAGAAGAAATAATAAAATAATTTATTTATCACTTTTTAAATAAATTAAAAATAAATTTTATAAAAATTAAATTATTCGATCCAAATCACTTTTAATTGATTTAGATAATTTTTTTTATATCAATCTCAACCAAACTACACTATAATTTTATGATTGGATCAACTAATTTTTGTCTAAAGTTTGATTCAATCTAATTCGCAAACACCCGTATAGTTTTAGACAAAAATCTTCAATTCACATCCAAAATTTGGGAAAGCCTTAACAAACATTGAGCATCATGTTGTACCTTAATTTAGCATATCAACCTTAGTTTGATGGCTTAAACTAAGAGAATCATCAAATCATTAGTAGATTTGTTGAGATAATGTATTTTGAAACAAAAAAATTTGAGATATGTTTCTTTTATAGATAAAATTAACTTACAATAATAATTATTATGTTAAATGACATGGTGTCATATGAGGAATGAGGAATTGTATGAAAAAATGTACAAAATCTCATCTTGTTGACATGAAAAGAGAGAAAATCTTCTTTTGAGACTAGAGATTGTACCATAGAAGAAACATATCTATACAAAAACAAGAAAAAAAGATATCTTGACTTCTAAGAAGGAACTCACAATCAGTTCAGTGCCTGGGGCTAGCACAACTATAAAATCTAAGAAACTTATTTTGAAATTCCTTGAACCCTATTAGATGCTCAAAAGAATAGGACTTGTTGCATGTATAAAAGTAGCCTTAATTTCTTTATAATCTCTGCAATATGTTTCATGTTTCTCAACTTTAAAAGTATTACGAGAAAATCTAACTTATGAAACATTATTTAAGAGGATCAATAATTGAAGGGGTGTTAAAATGAGAGGTAGATTGATTAGAAAAATAAAAAAGAGAAGTAGATTCGTTTCTTTGCTAAAGACAAGACAAACTCATCTGACACTACATGAAAATTGGAGAGTTTGATGAGAAAGTTATACTCATCTTTTTTCAACAAGGTTAGTAGAAAAATTTTACATGTGATTAACTATTGTGAAATTAAATTTTACATGTCATCGCGAACATTTAGTTTTACGATAGATGTTTGTTCTCATTTTCGTACTCTTGGCCTAAAAATTAAAATGTGTCGGGCCTAAAATAATATTTTAGAACTCAAGAAAACTCAAATAAATTCTTAGAGGTCAAATAAAAATTTTGGAAGAAAATATAAGTTGTACATTTTAAAAGAACGATTTTGACGCCTAAATCTATGAAAAATTTCTTTTAAAAGGATATCTTAGAATTATAATTGGGACAATTTATTAAACTAGAAATATAATTATTTATTATTTTGAAAATAAAATATATGTTTTGAAATAAAAAAGAATAATTTAAGTATTTTTTTAAAAATAATGAATTTACTTTTAAAACATTAATAAAAATAAATTTAATGTCAAGATAAATTAGACCTGAAAAATATGATATTTAACGTCAAATTACAAGTAAAAAGATTTACCATTATCATCTGTGCCCTAATGAATTAATTTCATTATTATTGATTTTCTTGAAAAGTTTCAAAACTCCATTTCCGTCTTTTATCTCGCCTCTTTCTTCTGTTTTGACTGCGGCTTATCATGTCTATATATTTTATTTCAATTCCTGGGTCAGTTGCCCTCTAACACGGTAATAATTAAACATAAATTTTATTTTTTTCATCTATTTTTATTATTTTTCATCATATTTATTTTTAATTTTTTTTCTTTTTTTTTCTTCTTCCTATTTCACATTCATTTAGTAAGTATCAAATTATTATTTTAAAATTTGATATGAAATAGTCATGAATCTGATTAGTCTTTTTTATTTGTTTATTCTTATACTTAACATAGTACCGTTTTCTAGTATTTATATACCAATATTTTCATCCAGAACAACACTCGCCATATTGTTTTTCAATATTTAATTGCTACGCCAATGAGTGAAGTCATTAACAACTTTTCAAAGCTATGGTTACATTGCGTTGCATTTCTAGTTTATAATAGAATTTACAGACCGCATGATCTTGATTTTAAATTTGTCTCTTCCTCGAACTAGGACTTTTTAATCTCAGCTAAAACAATAAAAAAAAAAAAAAGCGCAAATTAGGGTTCTGTGTATTAGAACCAATCAAAAGGCAAAAAGATAAAATTCACTGACAAATATGCTTCATCTATTTACCTTATTACCTGAACAATCTACCAAGTACCAAAAGCTCTACATATTTCTGGTCATACAACATCTATGACTAGCCAAATAAATCAAGAAGTTAAAGTTCATCATTTTGTGTGCAGATTTTTACCAAAACGATGAAAGTTAGGACTAAGGAACGAAGGAACATGCATTCTTTCAAACTAATTGCCATGCTGAGACAGTAAGAAGAAACCTATTTTGCCACCCCAAAGAGATAACACTTCCTTCATCCCTTTCAGAAACTCTGAAACCCCCACCACCCTCTTCCTCAAACTGTAGTGGATAATAATGTGTCCTCATCTTCAAAAGCAGCTTCGCTTGGATCACGCACTTTGAGCTTATTTTTCTTCCAACAAATCCTTGATTCTCCATTCTGTCTTTCCATGTTTCCATCCTCTCATATTTTGGGCAATCCACACCATCCATGTCATGGTTGAGCATACTTTTGATCTCTTTCCCAAGAAGCTTCTTCTCAATCCTTAGCCTCTCAATGCTCTCAAGTGGCAAGCAATCATCCAGTGAATCAAACATGGCTGCAAAATAGTGCAAAGACTCGGTGAACCTTGACAAGAATGTCTTCACACTTCTGCTACCTTCTTGTTTCACCAACACCACAATGGAGGGATTAAGAGAATGAACAAATCCCAATGTGTCAGAGATCTTCATGAAACTTCTCCAAGTGTTTAAATAAGAAACAAGGTTCACTGCCACAGTTTCATTTTTCCTTTTCCTTAGGTTTATGATCCTTAATGAACCTTTCAGGAGCCCTTGGAATTCAAAAACAAGGTGGTTACTAAAACCCTTTGAGAAGCTAACCAATCTAGCCTCAGTTTCTTGCAGCTCTTTAAGGTTGTTTCCAAATCCTGTTATCCTCAGGGATATTCTGTTGCCATTGGTTGCCTTTTCAGAAAGTGATTGAATAAGACAAGGCCATTGGAAGCCATAGGAGACATCAAAGTCAATGACATGAAGTGCTTTGTTGTTTCTCGCTTCCTCCTCCTCAAAGGCCTCCAAAATAGCCTGGTTTGCAGTGAAATGAGCAAATTGGTAATAGGGTGAGACTCTGTAGAGATCTGTGAATGCAAGAAACTCTTCCTCACTTGTTGGTTCCTCCATGAGCATGTCATAGAATGGTGACTTCCTAGTAAGAAGCCTTGCAGCCAAACCATCTGCAAAATATGCCACCACACGTTGAACTGAGTCACCTGTTAGGGAAACTGTTTGATACAGGTCAATGAGATTCTCAAGAGCTGCAGTTATGTTTCTTTCATCAACAGCAGTCGCAGTTGTTAGAAGCAAATGAATCAAAGGGAGGCCATTCCCATCTTCAACCACCCCTTTTCTTCTATGCTCTTGTCTTAGCATCTGTTCCCTCGTTTGGAGGAGCCTAAAGATCTTACCTTCAAAGCCTTCGTAAGAACTCATAGGAAAAATAATGGAATTAGCATTAATATCCCTTATCTTTCCCTTCTTTTTCCTCTCCCTACCAGCAGCAACTGAAAGAGTCAGATTCAGAAGCTCTTCTCCCTCTGAATCTTCCATATATGTGAAGAAAGTGTGAAGGAGAATGAGTAAATCTAGGACATAAAAGAAACTGTTCAATGTGTTTGTAGGCTTTTGTTGGGGAAGAACTCACAAAAATCCTTTGTATCATGACAGGGAATAAATATATATATATATATAGGACTGAGAAAGTGAGCAAGAAGGATATTATCTATAATTTTTTCTAATAAGACGGAGAGATTAAGAAGGGTATCTTTTTATTCTTTAGAATCAGTGTCTTGGGGGTTAGGAAAATATGACGATGATATGATATTCTTTATTATAATTGGACTGATTTTCTAATCTATGAAGGGTTCTTTATTTGGATTAACTTTTACTCCTTCGGTAGTTGAGAACACTTGCAAGATGCCAGACGCATTGGACAAGAGAAAGCAGTGTCAATGCGAATCAAAACGTACCGTCCTTGATGAATTGTCTTTCTACACTCTTCTTCTTCCATATTAATTGCCTTAACCAGTTCGCTTCCCTTCATCAAATCTCCTATGATTAAATTAGCTGAAGTTTGGATTTTGAGGACTGGGTGCATGTGTAGATCGTACTTGTACATCTCGGATCATGTCAAAATCATGGTTTTGCTTAGTATTTACCGTTTAAATATAATTTTATCGGGCCATTGTTTCAGGAGAAGTAAAGAAACAATAAATTATTTCCTCGTTAGGTCAAATTATAGTTACAAACTATTATCCAAGCACTCTCTAAAAGCAATTGATCAAGATTCATAATAAGGCTGTATGTTAGGAATACATTGAATTTGGATGATATACAAAAGTCAACGTCATGCATAGTCAATTTTGGTTAATTAGAACATTTGATTTTTGTATGTATTATATGCGATTGATGGGATCGATGAAACTTGGATATCCTATTCTCTCAACATGTATTTGATTGGCACAATTTAGAGCTTCTTACAAGGATTATGGCTTTATTAGCATATATTCCTCAAGTACATAGGGATCCTCTGCAATGTAAATTTTGACATCTTGCCATATGCCAAGACAAAGGAATGCAAACAAAAGGTGACCTAACTTCCCCAGTGTGAACTAGATTTGATATTTTTCTTTTTCCATTTTGGAATGGACTTGTTCTTGCTTAATTATTTTTTTTCTAGGGTTGGAGATTAAACGTGGGCTATGATTGAAGGGACATGAATTTAAACCACAAAGCATCTAAACCAATGTGAATATAAAGGCTTGATTACATCCCAGCAATATAATTCAACTTTCTTCTCCCTATCTCTATCACATAATTAACACCCCCCCCCCCCCAACTCCCTCCTTTTTTAAATAAAAGCAATGAAATCACATGATATATATATATATATATATATATATATATATATATATATATATTATCGATTCTAACTGATTAACATATAAAGAATAAAAGTTAGACCTCATGATTATATTTTAACACGTTTTAATAAAATAATATTCATTTAATAAGAAAAATTTTACATTTTAAATTCCTTTCTCACTTGTTTTGATAGTTATCTTTCTCGAATAACCAGGACCACTGACGGATTTTATTCCACCGTAAATATGAAGTTATGGGAAAAAATTTATTTCCATTGGAGTTTGTGTTTGAAATAGTCTTTGGTAGCAATGTAGCATCCCAAAATGTCACATCAAACATGGAAATATACTAAGTTCTTGGTTGTCCAGTTAATGGAGACCGGGAGGATATATAAAATGTTAAATAATATGAACCCAATTTTATTTTTGAAAGGGAAAATGAAAAACATATATTATTAACAAGGCACAAGAAGTGCCAAAAGGGAACAACGTCACTGTGCTAATGATGCAGTAATTAATTTAATGTGGTGGGAGTGTATGACACAATGCATTTCTTGATGGAATTTAAAGCTGACATGTGGCTGCTTCTTGGTTGCATAATGTATATTATCCAAAATGGAGCTGGTAACAGAAAACAGAAAGTTTCCACCTTCAAATGAGTTATTTGATTTGCAAATCCCTAGCAAATCTTCAGAACTGATAAAAGACAATCACAGTAACGATGCAGGGAAAACGAAATCCCAAATGCAAGAAACCTCTTTTTGTCTCAACTTGATGAATGAAAAGAGTTAAACGGAGAAGGAAAAGATTGAGGTGCTAGAAAAACAAAATACACGGGAAAGACGGAAAAGGAAAGTCAGGGATGGGAAAGTGGTTGGGTAGAAAAACATGCCTTGCTGTCAGACATATCCTATATATCCATGTGAGTTCTCTCTCCAATATATCCCAAAAGTTCAAAAGATAAAAATTAAAATAAAATTATTTTATCAAAATTAGAATCCTCCAAATAATGTTTTTTGGTCTCCGAAAAGTAATTATAAAATAACTATGTGTAAAATTACAAGAATTATTTTATTATAAAAAGTTTTACAGAAAGAGAAGTTAAAGATATTATATAAATAATTATAAAATAAAATATTTCATTTTTATTTGATGAAATATATATATATAGGAAAAGTTAGAAATGAAAAGGAGGCAAGTAATTTAAGGCGTTCGAAATTTCTGAACGAGGTTGGTGGGGAAAATTGAGGGTTGTCAGACAATTCCACGTGGGGGGTTTTTCTTGATCCCTCTCTTATGTGAAGAAAAATGCACTTGTAAAATTGATGTTGTTTTCACTTTGCGTGAGGAAAGCCTTTGCGTGCGAAGATGAAAAAGAAAGAAAAGGCATTGTAGGGTAAGGAAGTAGTGGTGAGGGTAAAGAAGGAGGTGCATTGTCTGTACTTCCCAGCAATCGTGTCAGTCATCAAAAAGAAAAATTGATGGATGGGGATAGAGCAATGCAACAAGCAGGTATCACACTCTCACTTATCAACCACACACCAATTGGTAACAATACAGATCAAATAAAACCGATAAATCGGTAATTTCGTACACATACATTATCTTTTTCCTTTCATATAAATGATAATAACCAATGCCCCTTTCAATAATTAAGCAGTTCTTGATTATTTTCTAAGATGATCATTATAGCTTCATACGGGTAATAATATACTCACATGATTTATTTTGTAATGCATTTAAAAGACGATTCAATTGATGAGTTATACTTTCTATGTTATAGGCAAAAAATTTCCTTTGTATTACGATTTGCCCTCTCATTAATTTTATAATATTTTTACCATTATAAGTTGGTTCTTCGTTTTCTTTTACAAACCTACCAAATCTTTTAACTAAAACAACACATATCAATGTGAGCTGCTAAGACAACTAAAATAATTGAAAACTTGTGTAGGTTACTTTTCTAATTATTTAAAATAAAAAAGAAATATCTTGGTGGGTTTTAGAATTTTGCACCAAACAGTGCAAATGTAATCTTGTGGTCCATATGACATGATCCATGAAATCATGGCTAAGCATTTTCTTGAATACTGAAAATAGCAATATTTTATTTGGGACACCCACACCCAGATGTTACTTGTCTGCATCCTAAGGAGCAAGCTATTTCCCACTCTATAACTGTTGTCTTTCCCCTTATTTTATTATAATTTTTGCGTTTGCATCGTAGCTGTTACTATTTTGATTAAGGATTGGGGGTGTGACGATGAACAGTAAGTAAAATTTAGGGTATCTTCTAGACATTATGATGCTTCTATCCCTACGGTGGCCATCTTTGACACTATCTACACTAACTTCTCTAATTTGACATGCTTGCTTGGCATGTATCCTTAAGAAAGGCATATGCTAAATGGTCTCTTTGTATTTTAAATTGCAGGCTACTGGTTAATTACAAAACTAAAAATAGGAAGTCACAGCTACTTTTTGAATATTACAAGTTGTTATCTTTGAAATCATTAATTGCTTATAAACATAAGTCTTCTAGCCTTTCTATTTGTTTTTAAGATAAAACTTGTAAAATTTATTTTGTTTAATATCTTTTAACGAATATTAAGTTTATCAAATTAACTATAGAATTAATATTTTTGTAGATTAAATTTATAAAATTTCACTTATTACAAATTATTTAATATTTTATTATTGGTTTCCTTTTAATTATACTGTCACTTTATAAAAATTATAATTTATTAAGTATTGAAAAAACATTTAATGGTGATTAAAAATACTTACTATAGGAATTATAATTAACTACAATCTAGTTTCACACTACTAAAGGCAAGTGACCTATATCAGTGGTCCAATCTGGTTTAGATGGCGGTTTCAATCGGAAGTGCTGTGAAAAAACCACCCTATAATACTGGAATGACATTCTAAAAGAAACTTTGGATAAAGATTTTCATTATAATTGCTATCTTTAAATTCTTAACATACCCAAAAGAAAATAGTTTAAGCTAAGAGTCATAATTTATAGTTTTATTTAAAAAGAACCATTTCTATTTAAAATGTATCAAAATCATTCCTCTTATCCTCTGCAAAAGCATGGTCATTGAGAGCAGGGTGACACATCATCTATCTATGCTTCTCAAAATAGTGTGGACTTTAGATTTGATCGTGTCGTCAGCATTGTGACACCAATAATTGAAGGTGGAGGGGAGACATTGAAGTTATGATTAGGCTTCTAAGGTTTGAAACAACTCGCCTTAGTCTGCAATAATAGATTTACAATCGACTCACCACCTCTTCATCATCAGTTGGTAAAATTCATCATTGTAGGTAGTGCGGTTACAAACTTCTCAGCTTCGATGTTCGCTGATGTTTCTCACAAAGCCCTCACATATATTATGCTACTTATTATTTATTTGTTAAGTTTTATTAATCTCATCTTTAAGATTAAAGATAAATAGTTAATAATATTAAAATTTTATTAAAAAATAAATTTTTATTATATTTTTATAATTTTAATATAATAACTATATTTTTTTATAATTTTTTTATTTATAGATACTTAAATTTATCTTTAAAGACTGAAGTTAATAAAACTTTTATTTGTTTATCTTTGATAAATATTTTTAATAAAATTTTTAATTTATTAATTTTTATAAAATAATTCTTATCATTTATAACTTAAATAAATATTGATAAAATTTAGGGTTGAGGCATTTGTTAATTTCTAAAAATTAATTCTAGAAAAAAGATTAAGAGCGTGTAACTGGAAGAATCATGGTTAGTATAGGTTATGAATAAGTTAAAAAACATCCACCAATTATTAATTAAGTGAAGTGAAATAAAAGGTAAAAAAACAGAAAAAACTCGTCTATCATTCTATTTTCTATAAAAAGACAAACATTTTTTTAATAAAATAAATCTCTTTCAAAGATATCTTTTTGAGGATCACACACACGTATCTAATCATCTCAACTTCGCACTTGTTTGTCTATCTTTTTCTAAATTACTATCATACCTTAAACTTAAAGTCAAAAATAAAAAAGACCCTACCAACCAAAGAAAGGAGGACAAATGAGAGAAAATACAAAATATTAAAACAAAAAGTCTAATTTTGTTTTTTTGGTTTTTTATTTTACCTTTTATATGCTTGTTATGTACAAATATTTTAGGTTGTATGTACTTGAATGAAGAAAATTTGTTGATCCATGAGACTTAAAAGAAAATAGTTGCGTGAGTCATTATGATCTTGAATAATTTTGTGTTGAAAAATTAAACTTGAAAGTGACTTAATATCATTTGTCAAAAAATTAAAAGTTAATTTTAACTAAAAGAAACTTATTTGATTGACTTAATAAATGTTTTTTTATTAACTTAATAAAATATATTCAAATCAATCAAAAATCATAAAATTATGCTTATAATATTCCTTAACGACATATAATTGGTAGCATGAATGTACATGCATGTTAATGGATATTGTAACATTCTCGTTTCTATGTTCAAAATATGAAAAAATACTGTATGATATTTATTTAAAATTATAGAAGTATGATTAAAAAATTTTGATTTATCAAAAAAATAGAATAAGTAATAGTATTTTATTTTAGTTTAAATGTTTTTATGTGTAAATATATTATGTAAATTAAATCTTTCCTAAAATGTTTA